TCTTTGGAAGCTTTGCTCTTTTCTGTTTTCACTTAAGCTTAGCAGAAATGAGGTTTTTGTTCAGTGATGGCTACTATTAAGTGTTTTGCTTGTGCCTGTATTGTATTAAATGATTGTATCCGATTACTGCATTTAGCTCAGTAAAACCCACTGCTTCATCTTGCTCTCATAAAATATGGAAATAAAAATCACTTTACAAGTGAGTTATTTCTAGCTCAGAATTGGGGTCACCATACTAAACAGTGAGATTAGGACTCTGCTCAGAACCGCAGTGCCAGAAGCCATCATCACAGCTGCTATACTCAGCTGTCGTCCTTAAAATGTGTAGAGAAAATGTGGTTTCACCAAATAGGAGCCATTAGTCAACTTTTACAGTGGAATCATTAGAGCACTTGTGAAAGGAAGGCTGTCTTATTTGATCCACCTCTAGCATACACTGAAAATTGTGAATAACTGAAATACCCATCTATGAATGAATGATGAGCCACGTGTCATGCCCCGACATGGATGGATCTGAAAATAATACGCTGATAGGAAGAAGGCATCTAGGAGGATTCTGTATATTTCAAATATTCTCAGTAAAGCTGGGTGCTGGTGGCTTATGTCTATAATCCTAGCGACTCAGGAGGCTGAGATCTAAGGATCATGGTTCAAAGCTAGCCAGGGCAGAAAAATCCATGAGACTCTTATCTTACTCAGAAAAAGCTGGAGGTAGCACTGTGTTCCAAGTAGTAGAGTACTAGCCTGAGCAAAAGAAGTTCAGCGACAGTGCCCAGGCCCTGAGCTCAAGCCCCACGACTGGAAAAAACAAACAAATAAACAAACAAACAAAAAACTCAATAATGCATGGAGACAGAAAAGAAACACTGATGGTTTCCTAGGGATGAGATGACAGGGGGAAACAGGCAGTTTCTGACCCATGTGTACACATGGGTGCAAGATTATTTAACAGAGTGTTCTGGAATTAGTGATAATGGTCACATGAGCTCAAACTGAACTATGCACTTTACAAAGATGAATTTTATGATGCATGAGTCGGATGTCAATTCAAACAAGTCATACAATTGGAAATTCATTGTATGTGTAAAGATCTATTTTTTAAAGTCATATAAATATATACATGTGTCATTAAATATAAACATTGTAATAGCAGATAGTAGCTAAATATATTGTAAAATAATTTTGAGCCTATTGTAGGAAAATCATCAGATATTTGATCCACAGGGCACATTTTGTACTTGAAAATCTCTCTCTCTCTCCCTCCCTCTCTCCAAACACAGACACAGACATACACAACTCATTTGGTTTTTTTTTTGTTGTTTGTTTTTAGTACCAGTCCTGTGGCTTAAACTCAAACCTGGCCCCTGATCTTGAGCGTTTGTGTTCAAGGCTAACACTCTACCAGTGGAGCCACAGGTCCATTTCTGTATTTTTTGGTTGCTAATTGGAGATAAGAGACTCACACCTTCCTGCCCAGGCTGGCTTCAAACCATGATCCTTGGGATCTCAGTCTCCAGAGCATATATGATTACAGACATGAGCCACCAGCACCCAACCATTTGCTATCTTTAAAACAAGTTACAGTAATCAGAAATCACTTCTGCCTATTTTAGAGTTTGTTTTCTAATATCATCAGTATTCTATGAGATAAAAATAGCACAATGAAAAATTAATGTTTAAAGTCCAGACTATATTCAAAGTTTAATTTACTGCACTGATACCTTTATAACAGGCAGGACACTGGAGCTTTTTAAATCAGGCCCTCAGTTTCAGTTTATCTGATCATTTCCTCATGCTGTGATTTAACTGTGCTTTTTATTTTTGTAAGAATACCACCCAGGCTCATTTCCAAAGATGCCTGGAACAAATGACCCAAAATTTGGTGGTTTGAACTAACAAAAATTTATTTTCTCATACTTTGGAGGCCACAAGTCAACATCTTGGCAATATCCCCTCTCTGAGGACACTAGGGAACAATTCTTCCTGCCCTACCTACTTTTAGTAGTGTCTGGTGGATTTGGCTTACAGCAACATCATTCCAATCTTTACTTCCTTCTTCTCATGCCTTCTTCTATTCCTAATGTTCCTATTTTATAAACACATTTATTGGATTTGGGATTCATCAAATGATCCTGTCATAAGGTCCTCAACTTATGTCTGCAAAGATTGTTTGTAGAGAAGGTCACATCCAAGATATGAGGGTTAGAACTATACCGTTTTGTCTCCATGGAATAAGCAATATTGTATTGTCTGCACAATCTCCTATTCTCAGAAGTCATCCAGGTGCTTTACTTAGGGGTGGATGTAGAGAAAGCATCAATTGCTACTGGTACTCTAAATCAAATATTATTCTTTTCCTTTCAATTACATGTGTGTATCTTCTTTTCTCCTCTGTGAGAATCCTAGTTCATAACCCCACCGAAGTATTATTTACCTGACTGATCCTATAATATACGTAAAATAGTGTCAGAACTGATACATCAAAATCATCAAAAATAAACTTGCTGGCTGGGTGCCAGTGGCTCACATGTGTAATCCCAGCTACTCCTGAGGCTGAGATCTGAGGATTGCAGCTCAAAGCCAGTCCCGGCGGGAAAGCCCCTGAGACTCTTATCTCCAATTAACTATCTAAAAACTGGAAGTAGCGCTGTGACTCAACTGGTAGAGTGCCAGCTTTGGGCACAAAAACTAAAGGACAGTGCCTAGACCCTGCATTCCAATCCCAGGACTAGCACAAAAATAATAAATAAACAAATTTGTCAGAGCAGGGTGCCACAGCTCACACCTGTAATCCCAGCTACTTGAGAGATAGAGGTCAGGATGGTCATGGTCACTGTTTGTTTGAGGCCAACATAGGCAAAAACATGAGTGAGCCCCTTATCTTAAGTAATAAGCATTTTGTGGTGCCTATCTGTAGTTCCAAATATGCAGAGGCATAAGTGGTAGTACTCTAGGTGAGACTAAGGGAAAAAATGTGAGATCTTATCTGAAGAATATAGCAAGAAGACCTGGTGTGTGTTTCTAGGGCCTAGCAAGCATGGGACCCTGAATTCAAAATCTAGAACCAGCAAAAAATAAAATAAAACTTGCTACATTAGTTTCAGGATTTCCTTTGTTGTTGTTGTTGTTTGTCTGAAGTTATAAAGCTAAATTGGAAAAGTTAGCCTGGTGCTGGTGGCTCAACGCTTGTAATGTTAGTCTATGAGGCTCTTATCTCCAATGAACCACCAGGAAACCAGAAGTGGAGCTGTGGCTCAAAGTGACAAAGCCCTAGCCTTGAACAAAAAAGTTCAATGACAGTGGCCAGACCCAGTTCAAGTCCCGTGATTGACAAAAAAAAAAAAGAAGAAGAAAAAGAAAAAAAAAAAGTTACTTGTGTCCCTCTACTCCCTAGCCTGTGGTGATTATATTACTGTTGATCCATCATTCAGTAGATTTATCTTCCTTTTATCTGTATTCAGTTTTAGGATTTCTTTTCCATTTTTGTTGGTTTAATTTTATTTATCACATTTTTAACGGTTTACCATAATCCTTAAAAATAATATTAAAAAGGATAAACATTTTAATATAATTCTTAAAGAATTAAAACCAAAAAAAAAGTATATAGAAACCAAGTACTGGTGGTTCATACCTGTATCCCTCAGGAGACTGGGATCTGAGGATCGAGGTTCAAAGCCAGCGGGGACAGATAAATCTGAGACTCTTATCTCCAACGATCCAGCAAAAACAAAACAAAAATCACCAAAAAAAAAAACCCCAGAAGTGAAGCTGTAACACAAGTGATAGATAGAGCACCAGTCTTAAGTGGAAAAAGCTAAGGGAGAGATGCCACAGGCCCTGAGTTCAAGCCCCTTAGTACTGGCACCAAAAACAAACAAAAATCCAGAAGTATATAAAAGAAGTGTTCAGAAAGACCATCTGTCTTCTGTCCATTTTGTTTTGCTTCTTCTGCCTCCCTAGTGTTTTAACCAGCTTTAGGCTCACACTTCCTGTTTCCTTTTATAGGTAGAACCAGCTGTGTGTATGTTTTGCTTGCTTGCCTTTTCCCCTATCCATAGAAGCTAATATACTGTGTATCTGTGAATCTCAGCCATGGAGGATTTTTGTCTCCTAGGGGACAGTTGACAACCTCTGGAGAGAAACTTATTTTATTCACCACTGGAGGGCGTGTCTGGCATGTAGACAGCTGTACTGACCAGGAAGCCCATCCTCTGTCTGCTTCATGTTCTCCTTCTGATTCTTCGGCTTCTTCTGTTTCTTCTGCTTCTGCTTCCCACTTAACCAATACCACGTGAATACCACTGGGTTCTGTTCACAATGCTGAGCCATGGCTGTCTCAATCTGGTCTCTGTGGGCATATTTCGTAATATTTTGCTATTACAAATAATACTGTAATGGATAATCATATGTACTTTTTCTTTTTGGCATTTTGAGAAGTCTGTCTTCAGAGGAAATGGCCAGAAGTGGGTGAGAGGGCAAATTATGCATCTGTTTTCCAGATCGTCTCCAAGGAGCTTGTACCATTTTGCATCTATATCATGGCATGAGATCCATCCTTTCTCCCCACAGGCTGCTTGTGGAGAGTTCTCAATCTGTTGAAATTTTGCAAGTCTAACTCAATTTCATTTTAGTTCAATTTTTCTAATGAAGAATGGCATTTATTTCATGTTGTTTGCATTGCTGTGTCAAACCCCCAAATTATAAAATGCTTAAACCTCCATCATTTAAGATGGAGGACAGAAACAATATCAAATACAGAAAAAAAGTATATATTTCTCTACTGAAACGGTCACAATTTCTTGTAGATGCCTTTCTGGTGTCTAAGACTTAATACGGTTTTACATAAACATGCAAGGATATTAATCAGCTGTGCCTGAAAGCAACACACACACAGACAGACAGTGGTATAAAGCTACTCATTTAGTTTCAGTGGCCAGGATGTCAATGTGTTTAAGTTACAAGTGACTGCACTGGGCTGCCGTATACTTGTTGTTTTACAGGCCATATATGTCCCTCGGAAGTCTCCGGGATCAAGTCATCTATCCTGACTCTGTGGATGACATGCATGGTAAAGGCTACACAGACCAGGACCTGGAGTGTATCCTGCAGAACGTCCATCTCTACCACATCGTACAGAGAGAAGGAGGTAGGGAGACGTAGCTTGCCTCTTCAAATGCTTCTCAACGTCATTTTAAAAATAGGCTTGATTCTATGTATTGCATTTGTTGTTTCATTTGAATGTGTCTGATTATTATAAGTAGCTAAGTGTAAAGATAACATTCTGTTGCTTCTCCATTTTATAATTTATTTATTATTGATTTATTTTTGTTCTGTGCCAGTCCTGGGGCTTGAAATGAGGGCTTAGGTACTGTCCCTTAGCTTTTATGGTCAAGGCTAGCACTCTACCACTTGAGCCACACCTCCACTTTTTGTTGCTAATTGGAGATAAGAGTTTTTACAGATTTTCCTGCCAGGACTGGTTTAAACTTCAATCCTCAGATCTCAACTTCCTGAGTTGCTAGGATTTCAGGTGTGAACCACAAGATCCAACCTGCTTTTCCATTACTGATATCTCTTCTTCTGTTAGTGTGATACTGAATGTCTCACACTGATCTTTTCCATGTCACTAGGGGTAGGGAGCATTTAGAAACTTACTTTTTTTTCTCTTTTCTTTTCCTTCCTTCCTTCCTTCCCTCCCTCCCTCCCTCTTTCTTTTCCTTCCTTCCTTTCTCTCTTTTCTCTTTCTTTCTTTCCTTCTTTCTTTCTTTCTTTCTCTCTTTCTTTCTTTCTTTCTTTCTTCCTTTCTTCCTTCCTTCGTTTGTTCGTTCGTTCGTTCCTTCCTTCCTTCCTTCCCTTCTTTCTTCCTTTCTTTCTTTCTCTTGAACTTTTGGCCTTGGCACTGACCCTGAACTTCTTTTGTTCAAGGCTAGTGCTCTACCACTTGAGCCACAGGGCCACTTCTGGCTTTTTCTGTTTATGTGGTACTGAGGAATTGAACCCAGGGCTTCATGCATGCTACATAAGCACTCTACTGCTAAGCCATATTCTCAGCTGAAACTAACTTTCTTTATATTCAAATGGACATGTCCCTAAGGCCACTGCGATTCTTCGTGTGTGTGTGTGTGTGTGTGTGTGTGTGTGTGTGTGTGTGTCTGTGTGTGTGTCTTGTGTGTGTGTCTGTATGTGTATGTATATGCTAACACTGGGGTTTGATCTCAGAGCTTCTCACTGACTTGGCTTTTTCCATTGAAGCCTGATGCTATACCTCCACTTTAGCCACTGCCATGCTAAATCCATGTGAAGTGTGGGACAGCAATGTTTCCCCCAAAATAATGAAAAAAAAACAAAAAACAAAACAAAGAAGAGAAATGTTTCCTAGCCAAGCTTACTCAGCTACATTAACTTAAGTAATTGGAGAAGTCATGGGGCCTCTTTGTTTTCACTTCCACAGCCTTACCAATACAGTTTTACTCTGTCAGGCAACACGAAGGAGAATTAGATCATCTGTGGACACTTTGCTTTTTTCAGAATAAACATATTTGAAGGACTAGGAATAATATTTAATGTAATAATATTTGAGCTTAAAAATAATGACTACTTATAGATAATAAAAATACAAATTTAAAAATAAAGCAATTCTTTTCTAATAGTTACATCTGAAAATAATTTGGTACCTCATAGAATTTGATAGCCTAGAAAAAATCCTAAGAAGCCAGAATTCCAGATTTAATTATGTGTGGATTTTATGCTCTGTTTCACAGCCCAGTTACATTAGTAAACAATGTCATGCAGAGATTGAGAATCCATGCTTTGACCTTTGACAATTTTAGAATCAAATTCTAGCTGGCTCTTCTCTTTTTTGGGGGGGTGGGAGTCCGATCGTGGGGCCTGAACTCTGGGCCTGGGCGCTGTCCCTCAGCTCTTCAGCTCAAGGCTAGTGCTCTACTACTTGAGCCACAGCACCACTTCCGGCTTTTTTCTTTTTGCTTATGTGGTGCTGAGGAATCTAACCCAGGGCCTCATGCATGCAAAGCAAGCACTTTACCACTGAGCCACCTTCCCAGCCCTGGCCCTTCTCTTATATCCTCAACTATAAAATGATAAGTATCTTTTTGTGAAGATTAAATATTAAGCCTGGCACTGGTGGCTCATGCCTGTAATCCTAACTACTCAGGAGGCTGAGATCTGAGGATCACGGTTGAAAGCCAGCCTGGGCAGAAAAGTCCGTGAGACTCTTATCTCCAATAAAACCACTAGAAAACCAGAAGTGGCGCTGTGGCTCAAGCAGTAGAGTGCTTGCCTTGAGCTGAAGAGCACAGGGACAGTGCCCAAGCTCAAAATTCAAGCCCCACAACCGACCAAAAAAAAAAAAAAAAGGCTAAATAATAATAGGCTATGTGAGATAAGAATAATACACAAAGTAGTGAGTGGTGACATGATTAGTTATCATGTTAATACTAAGAGTAGTTTGTCTTTGTATGGTGGTATTTTATATGCTGCATAGAAATTTCACATATGGTATTCCATATGATTCATACCATAATCAAATGAAGCAGTTAAGAAATACTGTATTTTTGTAGTGCTTATAATTCCTACCATCTGAAGAAAGCAGATTATCTTTTGGTTTAATATGGTCAACTTCTTGTCAAATTATAAACTAATATGGAAGAATAAATTCTACTGCCTACCTTGGGCATATAATTTTCATTTAAGTTTGACATACACAATGATGCAGATAGAAATTTAGGATAAATAAGAAATATTCTTTTTTTAAAAATCATGGACAAGTCCAACTATTTTTAAGAATGTTCTAAGTCTAGACTATAATATTACCATGCCTTGGGCATATAATAAGTTTTGTGTCATATGTTTTCCTATAAAAGATATAAATAAGAAGACTATTCCAATTTTAATAATGTAATTGTAAATATTATTGCTTATTACTAGGCAGAACATGGTATGTTCTGCAGTATCTGTCAGCCAATCTATCATTTTATTTGCTATTCTTAGTAGTCTAATAACGCCTAATAACGTTTGTTTTTACTGTCTCCACTTTACAGATTAAAGTCAAGTTAGGTATTTATCCAAAGTCGTACTTCCTAGATTTGGGGACATTAATAAGAACATTTATTTACACATGAAAGATTTCCATAGGAAATTTGCACATAAAAATTTCCAAGGAAATGAGTTTATTTTACTCAAGCATGAAACATTTGAGCAAGGCAGCAAAACACAATGTGCAAGTATTTTGCTTCCTGTGGAAGGCGCCTCCTACAGGGTAGAGACTAGAACTACGTTCAGTTCCATCAAACACAGGACCAAACAGGAAGTAAAAGACAGGGCAACCTAAAGAAGCTGGTGCATCTTGGGTAGCAGCAAACAGATTTTCTTAGCTCGCTGAGCCTCACCAAATCAGATTCCTACCCAGGCAAGACTGTGACTTGGGGTGAATTATGTGATCATGCAATATTGCCTAGGAAGCCCTATGGATTTATGGAACAAAGAACAGAGTTTATTAAAATATGTGAAAGTTAAAGCTGCTTTTAGCCAAAATATTTTATTCTCTGTGGGCCGAGGAAACACTATTTTAGGCCCCAGCTCTTTCTCCATTGTGTGGCAATGTGAATCTTTCTCAAAGCATCCCTTGTATTTCATAAATGCACTAAAAATTCAGTCTCTGGGAAGTATTTCAACAGTTTTCCCAGAAGCAAGAATGTAAAAAAGATGGCATTTGGAGATACTTTTCCTAATAGAAACTCACAAAGACACATGTTAAGTAGATGACCAAGGTCTGGAAGTTTACCCAAGGAAATGAAGTGGTTCCCTAGTAGAGTAGAATCTGAGGCTACCAATGGGACACAAGGGAAAGGCACTTTAGTCCAGATCCTTTTTGTATTGGTTGTTTCAAATATTTTACTTTCATTACATTTATTCATCTCAATGTTAGAGGAGGTAACACTTCCATCATTCAAAAACTAAAATGTCCACACAAATGGAGGGAGGAAGGGTGAACAAATACAGTTATGATATTCAACATACATTATGTACCGCTAGGAAGATGGCTTACTGGTAGAGTGCTTGCCTAGAATGCATGAAGCCCTGGGTTCCATTCCTCAGTACCACATACATACAAAAAAGCCAGAAGTGGCGCTGTTGCTCAAGTGCTAGCCTTGAGCAAAAAGCAGCTCAGGAACAGTACTCAGGCCCGGAGTTCAAGGCCCAGGACTGACAGAAAAACCAAAATAAACAAGCATACATTATGTAAGTATTGAATTCCCTCTCTGGAGGGTGAGGATGGGGCTGGGAGCAATGGGGGAACCATGGACTGGGGACATGGATCCACATGGACTGAATTGATAACCTCACTTAAGGAATTGCAATCTCTTTGTACAACGATTGAACTGTAATTTTCTTTTTAAAAACCACTAAAATGTATTTAACATATAGCCTTAAAACTACTTTCTGTTGCTGTTTCCTCCCATCTGGTTATTACCTCCCTCCCCATTGATAAGTATTATTTTTTTTAAGCTTTTTACATTTTAGACGAGATCTTTTTTTATATGTTAGATGGGATCTTAGCATGTAGCCCAGGCTGCCTCCAACTCCCAATCCTTTTGCTTACCTTCTCAAGTGCTGGGATTACAGGTGGGCATCACTATTCGAGGGTTCATTTTAGGCTTTGTTTCTATTTGTTAATACAGTGAATCTTAATGACGGGAGGATTTTTGGTTTGTGATACTAGGATTTGTACACAAGGCCTCATATTTGTTAGACTAGGCAGGTGCTCTACTACTCAAGCCATGTTTCTAACCCTTTTTTGCTTTACTTATATTTAAGATAAGGTTTTACTTTTTTTTCTTGGGGCTAGCCCCAGAGTCTGATCTTCATACTTATTCCTGTGTGTACAGGTATAGGTGTGTACCACGAGGGCTGCCTTATTGGTTGAGATGGGGGGAGGTATAACTTTTTTGGGAAATTTTTATGCATATTATTGCATACATTTTTTATCAGATTTCTGAACATCCTGTTTTCTATTATCTACTATTATATTTTAGATAGTTGTAAAAAGTTTTATGCCTATCGTATAATAATACTTAAAACATTAAGAAATATAAAAATGCAATGTGTTAAAAGCATATATTATGCTCTCAAAGGATTTGAAATTTAGTATCTCAAAAGAAAAGCCTAGCCAGGTGCCAGTGGCTTATGCCTGTAATGTTGGCTACTCAGGAGGCTGAAGTCTGAAGATGGCAGTTCAAAGCCAGCCCAGGCAGAAAAGCCCATAACTGTGATCTCCGATCGACTACAAAAAGCCAGAAGTAAAACTGTGGCTCAAGTTGTAGAGCACTAACCTTGAGCATAAGAGCTTAGAGGCAGGCCCTGAATTCAAGCACAAGGATGGAAAAACAAACAATCCAAAAAAACCAAAAACCCCAAGAAGGTTATATTCTACTTCTGATTTACAAAATAAAATAAAATAACCAGTCCAATCATTTGGCTTTTCAGAAATTTAGTGCACAGAAGACAGTGCCAGCTCTGCTTCCTATTTTCTTTCCCTTTAACCAAGTTTATTTAGAAATTTTAATCACGATGAGACCTCCACTGAAGCAGAAAAATGAGGGCAAAGAGCATGGACATTTTCCAAGTGGAAGAATTAAACCCTGACACTTAAGATTTGGAAATGTTTCCTTAAGTATTTGTCAAGTTTTGGCAGTCATTTCCTTCTTTGAAAAACCAGGCTCAGCAAGAATAGAATTGTGTGTTTTGTTTTGCTAACTATAAGAGGAAGTTAGTCTTCTTTGTAATTTAGAAAATAAAAATCTCATAGTTCCACTCTCAGGGTTGTTTCTGTGAGTGGTAGGTGATTACATGACATTTACTTGCAGAAATGCAATCATAACATGTACAATAACATCAGTAAAAACAATAATAATCATAATATGTACCTAGTTTTTCAATATAAAAACTTCTGAGTACTTTATTTTCTGGACACATTTTTTACATTACAATATACAGATGTAAACCAGCTTTTAAAAACTAAAAGTTTAGCTGGAAACTGATGGTTCATGCCAGTAATCCGAGCTACTGAGTAGGCTGAGATCTGAGGATCGTGGTTTGAAGCCAGCCCGGAAAGTGAGGTCCATGAGACTTTTTTTTTTTTTTTGGCCTTGGGGGGGGGCGGGGCGGCAGTCAGTCATGGGGCTTGAACTCTGGGTCTGAACACTGTCCCTCAGCTCTTCAGCTCAAGGCTTGTGCTATACCACTTGAGCCACAGCGCCACTTCTGGTTTTCTGAGTGGTTTATTGGAGATAAGAGTCTCAGGACTTTCCTGCCTGGGCTGGCTTTGAACTGTGATCCTCAGATCTCAGCCTTCTGAGTAGCTAGGATTACAAGTGTGAGCCACTTGCACCTGGCTTTCCATGAGACTCTTATCTCCAACAAACTACTCAGAAAAAGCCAGAGGGGAGCTGAGGCTCAAGTGGTAGAGTGCTATCCTTTTGAGCACAAAGAGGCTCAGAGACAGCACCCAAGCCCTGACTGAGTTCAAGCCCCAGGCCCAGCAAAAAAATAAAAATAACTAAAAATAAAAATAAATAGAAACTTTGCTTTTTGAATAAATATCAGACAGAAATCCAGAAATGGCCAGGCATCAGTGGCTCACACCTGTAATCCTAGCATCAGAAAGAGAGTAAAATCGTAGTCCTGATGGATAACTGTAAACTTAGATCTTACTCCATAAATTCTGGATTACTCACTTATAAAATATAAGCAAAATATCTTCTCATATAAGCTGTAGAGTATATAATGAGAAAACTCACATTAAGTTCTAGGCATATGGGAACCACTAAAGTTAGCTCCTTTCTTCTCTCCACTCTTTACATTCGTTGTAGTTAACTTTTGCAAATTTGTTGGTCTTTTCTCCCACCTCTGTCCAACACTACCCTGTGAAAATACTGAAAAGCAATTTTGTATGGGTGTCCCAATACTGGGGCCTGACGTTCAGGGCCTGGGTACTGTCCTTTAGGGTTTTTTTTGTTGGTAAGCTGGTGCTCTACCCTTGAGCCACAACTCCACTTGTAGCCTTTTGCTAGTTAATCTGGAGATAAGAGTCTCACCAACTTTCTTGCCCAGGCTGGCTTAGAATCTTGATCCTCTTTTTTTTTTTTAAAATTTAATTTTGTTTTATTTGTGAACATACTGTACAGAGGGGTTACAATTGCATGGGCAGGATAATGCGTACATTTCTTACCAAGCATTGCATCCTCCTCCTTTGTTTACCCTTCACATCCCTTCCCAGCCTCCCCCCTCCCCCCCAATCCCAATCCTTCTCCTTCCCCCCCTTCCCCCCCCTACCCCGCACCAACGTTGTAAAGCTCGTTTTGGACATGACAACTTGTACTTCTCATTGTTACAACAGGTCCACCTGTATCCTTAAACAACTTCTGAGCCTTCTGAGTACTTAAGATTACAGGTATAATCAGTGCCCGATATCATATTCTTATATTTAGAATTCTTACAACATGATTTGGCAAAATAAAGAGTTAATGCTATTCAATTATCAAATGTAAGGCAGAATACAAATGCTGGGGCTTTTCCTTCAAACATAGGTTCAATTAAATGTCAGGTCTCCCTGTTTACAATTAGAACTTGCTAGGAATCCATTGTCTAAGATAGGAACAGTTAGGAGTAGGTAAATTATTAATAAAATCTGTTGTTGTGTTTTCTTGCAGGATGGGATGCTGTTATGGACTGGAAAGATGTCTTGTCAGGTGGGGAGAAGCAAAGAATGGGAATGGCGCGGATGTTTTACCATAAGTAAGTATGCTGTATTCACTTGGCCACCATGCTACTCGCTGGCTAAGCAAAAAAAAAAAACCCAAAAACAAAACAAAAAACCCCCCAAAACTGGCTGAATTTCAGTAGTTTCATCTTTATCTCTTTCTTTCATTAGCATATGTTAATTATACACAGAAGGTTCACTGTGTATAGTTAAAAACATAAAGATAAAACTATCCCAGTGTTTTTATCTTAGGTTAAAAATACCTTAATAAAAATACAATACATAGAACTTGTTTTTTTTTTAATTTTATTTTACTGCACAGAGGGGTTACAGTTACATGAGTAAGGCCATGAATACACTGTTTGTGGAGCATTGTTACCCCTTCCTTTCTTGTTCTCCCACTGTCCCTTCCCTCCCCCACCTCCCTCGTTGCTCCCCACCCCCCACTGCCGGAAGTTGTAAAGTTCATTTCCAATATACTGTCTTGTGGTTATCATTGTTGCAATGGGTCATCCTGTGTCCTGGTTTCAGCGAGAACTTGTCATTTTAAATCTTCTTTTTTTTCATAGCAAAATCTCCAAGTGTTTTCTTTCTCTCTTCTTTCACTCTCTCTCTTTTGTGCCTGTACTGGGGCTTGCACTCAGGTGCTGTCCCTTAACTTTAGACACTCAAGTCTGGTGTTCTACCACTTGAGCGACATCTCCACTTCTGGTATTTGGGATGGATAATTGGAGATAAGTCTCACAGACTTTCCAGCCCACGCTGGCTTTGAACCATGATCCTCAGATCTCAGCCTTCTAAGTAGTTAGGTTTACAGGCACGAGCCACCAGTGCCCAGATTCTCTCTCTCTCTCTCTCTCTTTCCCTCTCTTCCTTTCCCCCTCCCCCCTCTCTTTTCTTAAAATTATCTTTATGGCTGGGTGCCAGTGGCTTACGTCTATAATCCTAGCTACTCAGGAGGCTGAGATCTGAGGATCATGGTTCAAAGCCAGCCCAGGCAGGAAAGTCCTGAGACTCTTATCTCCAATAAACCACTCAGAAAACCAGAAGAGGTGCTGTGGTTCAAGTGGTAGACTGTTAGCTTTGAGCTGAAGAGCTGAGGGACAGTGCCCAGGCTCAGAGTTCAAGCCCCATGACTGACAAAAAAAAAAAAATTATGTAGTTATGCAAAGGACTTGCTATTTAGCATAGTCTTGTTTTTGTGGCCAGTACTGGGGTTTAAACTAAGGGCCTTACGATATTGGCTTGGCTTTTCCCATCAATACTAGAGCTTTACCACTTGAGCCATACTCTACTTCCTATTCTATGGTGGTTAATTGGAGATAGAATGGGTGGGCTTTGAATAATGATCCTCAGATCTCAGCGTCCAAAGTAGTTAGGATTACAAGTGTGAGCCACTGGTGCCCAGCTGCACAGTGCTATGAGTTTAAGGAGAACAACACAATGCCCAGGAAGAAAATATTAGGCCCTTCCTGATTAATATCCTTGCACTTTATCAGTACAATATATCACAATCCCTTTCAACATTCTCATGTGTCCCTCCCCTACTTACTCATTTTTGTTGTTGTTGTTGAATAACCTTACATAAAATAATGACAGAAGAGCTGAATGCTCACACCTGTAATCCTAGCTACTCAGGAAGCTGAGATCTAAGGCTCACAGTTCAATGCCAGGCTGGATAGGAAAGTCTATGAGACTCTTTATCTTCAATAAACCAATAGAAAAAAACCAGAAATGCACTGTGGCTCAAGCAGTAGAGTGCTCGCCTTGAGCTGAAGAGCACAGGGATAGCACCCAAGCCCAGAGTTCAAGTCCCACGACCGACCAAAAAAAAATGACAGAAGGATAGATGAAATTATGTAGTCTAAAGTAGGATTATTACTAATTTTAAAATATGAGGAATACATAACTACTACTTTACTGGCATAAAGTAGTAGCTAGGCATTCAGGAACATCTCAGAATTAAAAAACAAATTCAAATAAATCAACTTTTTAAGCATTTGATAGCCTCTTAATCCCTTAAAAGCTGAGAAACATACTGAATGGGAAAAAGGAATCAATCCAAATATGTTTTAGTGGACTCAGAAAAATCAAGATATAGGAAGTAATTTCTTTAGTTGAAACTTTTCTCTTTGGCCACCAGCTGCATAGCATAGTCTTTTTTTTTTCAGTCTTTCTTTTTTTTAAATTCTTTTGTCAGTCATGGGTCTTGAACTCTGGGCTTGGGCGCTGTCTCTCAGCTCTTCAGTTCAAGGTTAGCTCTCTACCACTTGAGCCACAGTGCCACTTCCAGCTTTTTCTGCTTATGTGGTGCTGAGGAATCGAACCCAGGGCCTTATGCATGCAAGGCAAGCACTCTACCACTGAGCCACCTTCCCAGCTCCCCATAGTCTTGTTTTTGTGGCCAGTACTGGGGCTTAAACTAAGGGCCTTACAATATTGGCTTGGCTTTTCCCATCAATGCTAGAGCTTTACCACTTGAGCCATACCTCTACTTCCTGCTCTATGGTGGTTAATTGGAGATAGAGTGGGTGGGCTTTGAATAATGATCCTCAGATCTCAGCGTCCAAAGTAGTTAGGATTACAAGTGTGAGCCACTGGTGTCCAGCTGCACAGTGCTATGAGTTTAAGGAGAACAAACACAATGCCCAGGAAGAAAGTATTAGGCCCTTCCAGATTAATATTCTTATCTCCACATCCACCCCACCCCCACATACACAACAATAAGTTCAGTGTGCACAGAGGAAGTTAGGAGGAGCTAGGTACTAGCTTTTTAAAAAGATTACTTAATTGCTATGAATTAATTCATACATTGTTATGCTAATGATGATGTACAAAGGGGTTACAGTTACATGTCAGGTAATGAGTACATTTCTTTTTGTTGTTGTTGTTGTTGTTTTGTTTTGTTTTTTTTGTCAGTCGTGGGGCTTGAACTCTGGGCCTAGGTACTATCACTCAACTCTTCAGCTCAAGGCGAGCACTCTACACTTGAGCCACAGAGCCACTTGTGGTTTCCTGGTTTATTGGAGATAAAAATCTCATGGACTTTCCTGCCTGGGCTGACTTTGAACCACAATCCTCAGATCTCAGCCTCCTGAGTATCTAGGATTACAGATGTGAGCCACCAGCGCCAGGCTCTAGGGTATTAACTATTAATGCCTAAGTCTTGGGGGAAAAGTCTTGGAATGCAGTAACTGGATCATGCATAAGGGCAGATAGACCACTTTTTGTTGTTGTTGTTGTTGGTTGTGGGCTGGAACTCTGAACCTGGGCACTACCTCTGAGCTCTTCAGCTCAAGGAGAGCACTATACCACTTGAGCCACAGTGCCATTTCCAGATGGACTGCTCTGGAAACCACTGGAAGAGCCAGTGGTTTCACAGAGAATCTTAATAAAGAGAGCCACAAAATGCATATTTCTAATCAAACACTTATAGTAACTAGTTTTCATTTTTATGAAAACTTTAATTTTGGAAAAAACATAAAACTTCATTGAAAGGCAGAAATTGTGAAATGAACCCCAAACTCCCTCCACACTGATTCATGTCTGACTTGTGCCACATTTGATTTATCTGCTCTGTTTTTAGAAAAATTCTTAGGTATTTTAAAGTAAATCATACACAGATCTGGTAACATTTTTTGCCCTAAACACTTTGCTTTCAATCTCTGAAATATTAGGATATTTCGTTACTTTCTAAGGTAAGAATATGTGATAAGCGAAGTAATTAAACTAGCACTAGCTACTCAATAATTATTATTTATATTACTTAATATCAATTACTTATCCAATAGCTGGTTCATACTCAAAACTTCCCTGTTTGTCTAGGACTCTTTTACAATTGTTAAAATGTATTCGTTCAAGTCAAGCAGGTTTCACTTCTTTTCTGTTTCCTAGGATAAGGTCTTAGTTCAGGATGACTCCTGCCTGAGCATCCAAGTTAGGGTTACAGGCATGTGCCACTATGCCTGGCCACACATTGTATTTGTTGTTCTAAGCCTTAAATATTTTCATTCTGAAGAGTCTCTTCTTGCCCTTGCTCTTACCTGCCTTTTAGTGGTACTAATAATACAGGCCTTGTGCTTGCTGGGCAGAAGTTCTAACTGAGCCACAGCTGCAGCCCTACTTGGCTTACCTTCTAATCTGAAGCCTTAACTTGAAGAAAGCAGATCAGCTGTCACGTGCAGTGTTGTGTATTCTAGAACGATCTGATGGTATATCTTGTTTCTCTCCCATTTTTCCTATAAAACAGAAATTAGAGCAAAAGAACTGTGATTACATTTAAGTGCAGACTTTGTTTTCCACAATAATGATATACAGAGGGATTACAATGGCGTGAGTCAGGCAATGAGTACATTTCCTTCTCTCACTCAGTCCCAGTCCCCCGCTCCTGTCTCCACCCAAGAGTTGTATAGCTCACTTTCATCAGTGTCCAGTGAGTTCTACCCTTTTTCCCTCAAGTTCTCTACCCTCTCCACACCCTCCCAAAATGAACACATGTTTATCACTAAGAGAATGTGTGACTTAAGCAAATTCATTAAAATATGATAATGTTCATTTCATGAAAGGAGACAGTACATAAAAAAGTATACTTTCTCGTTGGCTATAAAAAATCAAAATCTTAAGAATTTTTCCCAACCTGTTGGGAAAAGTGATCATATTGATCACTTTGATGTAGTTATGCTAAATTATATATTTACTTAAATTCATATGTTCCTTTAATTTCATGTGCTAATATATACTTCTCTGTGTATTGCACGAAAGCTCTTCAGAGTTTGTTTATTATTACTATAAAAGTTATTGACAAATGCACAATGGTTTTAATGTCATGGGCCTTGCACTTGCCTCACAGTTGCTCTACAACTTGAGTTTAACTCCAGTCCTGTTTGCTTCTAGTTATTTTTCAAATAAGGTCTAGCTTTCTGCCTAGGCTGGCCTCAGACCCCCATCTCTTCACTTCTGCCTCCTCTACTGCTCAAATTATAGATGTACAGAACTGTGTCTGGCTGAAATGGTACTTATTTCCAATATATAAATCAATAACCTTTGATTAATGCCATACATTATATAACTAAAATCTCAACTAAGACAGAGAACATAGAAACATTCTTTCGCCTTCTAGAAAGTTCCTTTGGGCCCCTTCCTCATCCTATCTCCCCGTAAGACAGTTTCTATTGTGGTTTCAATCATAATAAATTATTTTTATCTGCTCTACAACATCATGTAAATGAAACTATACAGTGTATCTTTTCATATCTAACTGGAAATAGTGAAAAAATCATGAGTTGTATTGGTAGAATGTTATTTGTAATAATGCGCATGGCTGGTTTAAATAAAATAGGCAGGAACGTGGTGGCTCACACTGTAATATGGGTCAGTCAGGATGACAGGCTGGGCCTTTTGAAGCCAGCCCAGTCAGGAAAATCAGTGTGTCTCTTCTCCATTGAACCAGCCAGGAGCCAGAACTGGAGCTGTGGCTCCAGTGGTAGAGTGCCAGCCTTGAGCAGGAAGAAGCTCAGGAACAGCACCCAAGTGTAGGTATTGACTGTAGTCCTGACAACTAAGCTAAGTTGTGTTACTGATGCAGTCTACACACCAAAGGTCCAAGACATAATTGAAATAAGAAAAGGAAGCGATAAAGAAAATAAGAAAAGAGATAAAGAAATAGGGAAAAAAATAGAGGTCTGGTAAGAAGGGAGTTGGACAAACTGAAGGTAATAGTGACAAATGAAAGAGCACCTCTGAGAACATACACTCATTCCCAAAGGGGGAAAAAATGAGCTAGGAAAGTAATTGTTGGCTTGGGTATATAGCGCAGTGGTAGGGTACTCATCTTGCAAATGTAGGTCCTGGGTTGGATCCTTACCTCCAATCAATATATAAATAACTATTTTGTCCTCTAAGAATTCAATTCCCAACTATGGTCCCAATAGTATGAAATTAACTGTCAATTTTGAGACTTTTTCTTTTTTTGTCTTTGGTGGGGATTGAACTCAGGGCCTGAGTGCCGTCTTTGAGCTGTTTTGCTCAAAACTAGAGCTCTACCACTTGAACCACAGCACCCCCTCTAGCTTTCTGGTGGTTGATTGGAGATAAGAGGCTCACAGACTTTCCTGCTCAAGCTGGCTTCAAACTGTGATCCTGAGTGACTAGGATTACAGGCGTGATCCACCAGTGCCTGTCCTCCACTTTGAAACTTGTAAATAGGCACATTCACTCTGTCTTACAGTGAGGAAATTCCATTAGTAATGCTTAGATACTCACATTGCTGATAATTTAATCTTCTCATTAAATCTTTGCTAACAGGACTGTGGCCTGTTTAGTCATTAGCTGTTATGAATGTATTTTCCATGTAACTAATTAGACTTTCGTCATCAAGGATGAACCTGCCAGCTGCAGGAAAATGCCCTCAAATTACCAGATAATCATTACTTCATCATCACTGCCTCATCTTTCCTTCATTCATTCATCTTCATAACATTAAAGCTTATTAAATTGTAAGTGGGTCTCAGACAAATCTATTTAAAATCAAGAAGAATGTGAGTAATCTAAGTAGTAATAAAGTATAGCTCTGTTATGAATTACCACCTTTAATAATGTAATATGCTCAGCTGGGCCTGATGGCTCACACCTATAACTACTCAGGAGGCTTAGACCTAAGGATCACAGTTCAAAACCAGCCTGGTCAGAAAAAATCTGTAAGATCTCCAATTAACCACCAAAAAGCCAAAGTGGAGGTACAGCATAAGTGGAAGAGTGCCAGCCTTGCGCAAAAAAGCTAAGAGACAGCGCCTAGGTCCTGAATTCAAGCCGCAGTACTGCACCACAAATACATAAATAATATTTTCTTTTGTGCCTTTGAAGTTGTTACCCTTGTAGCGTCTATTGCTCAAAAATTAATTCATGGTTCATATAAGAAAACTGTTCATTGTTTATGTGTTTCAGACCAAAATATGCATTGCTGGATGAATGCACGAGCGCGGTCAGCATTGACGTTGAAGGGAAAATATTCCAGGCTGCGATAGGGGCTGGGATATCCTTACTCTCCATAACACACAGGCCTTCTCTTTGGTAAGTGTTTCCAGTGCTGGCTAACTTCACAACTTCACAGATGGTTTTTCCTTATGTTTCTTTTTTTTTGTCTGCCGTGGGGCTTGAACTCTGGGCTTGGGCGCTGTCCCTCAGCTCTTCAGCTCAAGGCGAGCGCTCTTACTTCCTTATGTTTCTTAAAGAACACCTTTGCTTATCTTTTCATTGCAGAGCGCAAGGTATTTCACCTATTTTCTATCTGTATTGCTCCTAAAATTTAAGCCTAACAGTTTATGTAACTACCAACCTGATTTGCAAATTATCATCACTTTCCAGTAATTCTCAAAATCTATAGAAAAAAAAATCTAGTGATTCATTTGAGCTAAAAAAAATCAGAAATCCTAGTCTGAACTTGAAAATAATAAAAATGTATATATTTTTACATTATTCTTTTAGTGCCTTCTTTAAAATACAAGAAAAAAATATAGCACAACTTGGTATTTCCCTCAAATGACCTTGCATTACACCTTCTTTTGTATATGTCCCACCAATCAACACCTGTTCCCCTGACATATTATTATATACAGTTGACTCAACACATTTTGGCTTCCTCCTATCCAAGGGACCTCACAGGTATGTCTCTCCAGCTGTAGCGTGTTCTGAAACAGGTGACTGGTCAGACTACATGCTAGTGCTCGTGGCTGCCAGTCAAGACCAGCGGCAACTTTTACTTGATTTCATCCTTGAAGCCCTTCAGACCTTTTCTCCTACAGAAGATGCTTCCATTACAATTGTGAACAAGCATTTCACACCTGGCTTTTCTTGTCCCTTCCTCCCTCCCTCCCTCGTGCCCTCCCCTTCTCTCTCTCTCTCTCTCTTTCTCTTTTTCTTTCTTTCCTTTCTTTCATCGGTCATGGGGCTTGAACTCTGGGCCTGGTCACTGTCGCTCAGCTCATCAGCTCAAGGGTAGCGCTCTACCACTTGAGCCACAGCGCCACTTTCTTGTCCATTTCTATTGGGAGGATAATAGTCTGTTTTCACATTCCATTTAAACAGTGCTTTAGAAATTTCCCCTCTGAGAGTGTGGACTTGAAAAGAGAGCATTTCACAAAGGGACCCTATCATATGCAACTATCCTCTCATCATTAAGGATCGATTGGGAAGCTTGGCCCCGTGGCAGAGCCTATAATTCCAGCTACTTAGGAAGCTGAGTTAAGGGGTAGCCTGCTCAGCATACTAAGAACTTGTAGTGTGCATTTGAAATGATGAGCCCTTGATTTGCTGATATCTCCAGTGGCAGTCAGGATCTAGACCAGGATGAGTCTTGTCAGTGAGTCTGATTTCTGACTTTCCCCTTCAGAAGACCAACAAGATCTGGGTCTTGAAGACAACTGTGACACTTAACCTGTAAATTCTATGAGTTAGGCATGACATAGAACCAGACAGAGGTCTGGCTTCTTCGCCTGTACCTAAAATGTCCAGACAGGCTCCCAAATTCATCACGTTGGGACGAAAAGTTATCTCTTAGTCCTGATATTTTTCTGACCCCGATCAATGACCTATTCTGCCATTTGGTTCCACACTGGAAGCACATTCAACCCTTGTTTTCTCAATTTCTTTAAGAAAATGTATAATGGCATGTCTTTTAACATGATAAACATATTTTTTTTTGGTTGGTCGTGGGGCCTGAACTCTAGACCTGAGCACTGTCCCTCAGCTCTACCACTTGAGCCACAACGCCACTTCCAGCTTTTTTGCTTATGTGGTACTGAGATATCGAACCCAGGGTCACCTTCCCAGCCCCATGATAAACATTTTTAACTGGAGCTATTCAACAGTGTGTATCTCTATTATACTAATTCTTCTTTCTGTGTTAGTTCAGCAATGATAGGTTGTAGAAATATACTGTTTCTGATTGTCTTCTTTTGCCCAAGAGTGATGTATAATACTTTCTCTGAAAAAAACTTCAGAAATAATGACAAATGGGAAATGGTTGATTGTAAAGATGTGTGTGTGTGTGTGTGTGTGTGTGTGCACGCACGCATGTGTGCATGTGTGTGTACTGGTAGTGGGGCTTGAACTTAGACCCTATGCTCTTGCTTAGTTTTTTCTTCTCAGGGTTGATGCTCTACCATTTGAGCTTCATCTCTACTTTTGGCTTTTGGTATTTAATTGAAGAATTTCTTGTATTTGTTTTTCTGGGCTGACTTCAAACTGGGATCCTCAGATTTCAGCCTCCTGAATAGGATTATTGGCGTTAGTCACTAGTGCCTGGATGATTGTAATGATTAAAACGGACACCAGGGACTAAAGAAGTAGAAAAAGGAAGCATTCTATTTTGAAGGAACTGTACAGATCAGTTTTAGTGACTCTCAGATAAAGTAGTCATCTCGTTTAAGATCCTCTGACCACAACAAGGCTTGAACTATTATTTTAGCTCACATAGCACATGCCTTTCTATCTCAGATCATGAAATACCCACATAGTTTGTTCCTCCCGTAGCAATCAAGTAAAGTTGTAGAACCAGAGTGATGAGTCAAACCTTCGTATCTATGGAAGGTGCAATGTGCCAGAGATAACCATGTTCTAAAATTGTTCCTGGTTGTAGATCCAAGACTAGGAAAGCTCAAAGGAATTTGGGACTGAAATAAATAAAATGGATTTTTAACTGTTATTTCTTTCTTAGTATATACTAGCCTTCTTTCGCTTTAAGGTTACTTATAACCTTAACAGCAGGATTTGTTTTTGCATTTCCCTCTTGACATAGAAATACACTGTTTTTAATTTAATGTTCGTATGGTCTCACCTATTGGAAGGTCAAATATTTGGAAGGCTCAAGAATCTAAATTACATGGAAGAGATATCTGTCATGTCTTATCAAATAGATACATTTAAATGTTCTGTTTGACAGTGGTTTTGCTCTTTAAGCTATAGTTTAACCTAGCTAATTTTCCCTTTTAATGTTAAGGTTTAACAATATTCAGTCGAAAGGGGGTGAGGGCTACAGGTCTACTTCAGTAGTAAAGGATTTGCTTAGCAGATACAAGGCCCTGGCCAATTCCATAAATGGGATAAAATTCTGTCATACAAACAAAGGGAATAAATAGTGAAACAACTGGATGAAATGTGAAATCATTTTGTAAGTGAAAGAAACTAGCCCGTAATAGGCCACACAATATATGATTCCTTGCCTATGAAATATTTTGGACAGAAAAATACATAGAGAAAGAAGGATGATTAGTACCTGGCAGATGCTGGGTGGACAGGGAGTAGAGAGGACTGCTAATGAACACATGGGTGAAAACAATGGGCTGGAATTAGTGATGATACTTGAACTTGTAAATATACTGACAATCACAAAGTTTACACATATACATATTGAATTTAGGGGCCTGAGAGTGATATCCCAAATACTTTTTCTGCATTTGGAAGCTCTGTGAAAAGGTCCATAGTCAGGGCTGGGAAGGCGGCTCAGTGGTAGAGCGCTTGCCTTGCATGCCTGAGGCCCTGGGTTCGATTCCTCAGCACCACATAAGCAAAAAGAAAAAAGCCGGAAGTGGCGCTGTGGCTCAAGTGGTAGAGCGCTAGCCTTGAGCTGAAGAGCTGAGGGACAGCACCCAGGCCCAGAGTTCAGGCCCCACAACTGGACAAAAACAAACAAACAAACGAAAAGGTCCATAGTCATAGTACATAACAATAGATGAGAATTTACTAGGAAAAAACAAGTCATAAAAACTATACATGAAAACAGAAAAATGAAGAAACCTGGATTAAGAAAATTGGCAAAATACAGGTGGCTCATACCAGCTTTGTCTCTTTATTCTCTCCACATATCCCTTGCAAATTCCTGACTGAGCCCAGTGACCTCAGCCTCCTTATTGGAGTCTAATCATGATATCTCATCATCATAAGTTCTATACTTGTGAAACCCCTATGTCAGTGAACAATTAAGAGAGAGAGAGAGAGAGGACAGAGATGCCAGGAACTGGCAGCTCATGCCTGTAATCCTAGCTGCTCAGGAGTCTGAGATCTGAGGATCGCAGTTCGAAGCCAGCCTGGGCAGAAAAGTCCCTGTGAGACTCTTAATCTCCAGTTAACCACTCAAAAATTGAAACTGACACTGTGGCTCAAAGTGGTAGAGCACTATCCTTGAGCAGAAGACCTCAGGGACAGCGCCCAGGCCCTGAGTTCAAGCCCCATAACCAACCAAAAAAAGATTAAATTATGTGGACTGTGGACATGCAAGTATCTTTAAAAGATTTCATCAAAGAGTTTATTTAAAAACTTTCTAAATGTAATTGCTGAGACATTTTTATTCATGTGGAAAGAACTCACTTGCCTTAGGTTTTCTCTGTTGGACCTTTTGAATTTTACTAGATTTCCTCAGCTTCCTTTTCTTAATTTCTAGCCTAAGGATGCTTTAGAATTTATTCCAAATTATGAAAACAGTTACACAAAAGCAGTTTCCTTTATGATGCATATATATTCAGGATATAAGTAAATTTAATGCCACAAATAGGAATTTCCTACAGATCAATGGCTTGATAAATGGATTCAAATTATGAGTTTTATTATGTTTAATTGTACCAAGGGGGTCTCAATTCAACATGAAATTCATGAGTATACTACATCTTGATCAAAGCTGCTTCATTCTCCTTCAGCCCTACCCATCTCTCAACTGGAATGGATTAAAATTAAAATCCTCTAAGCATGAGTGACTTTAAGTGGCTTTTCACAGTTATGGCTAATAATATTATTTCCTTTTAATTATGCAGGAAATACCACACTCATTTATTACAATTTGATGGTGAAGGAGGCTGGCGCTTCGAACAACTGGATACCGCTATCCGTTTAACACTGAGTGAAGAAAAACAAAAACTAGAATCTCAGCTAGCTGGAATTCCCAAAATGCAAGAAAGACTTGATGAACTTTGTAAAATTTTGGGAGAAGACTCAGTGCTAAAAACAATGAAAAATGAAGATGAGACCTCCTAATTTGCTTTGACATGTTGAAAAGTTAATTTTTAAGTAAAGACGGAGGGATACTCTGTTATATATAGTGCATGTGGTGCGTTCAGCTAAGCACAGAGAAAACAAAGTCAGCAAGAAATGTTTTATATGATGATAGCACCAAGAAAGTATATGGTAACTTTTCAGAAGAAAATAAAAAATGCATTATATAAGATTTAGGCATTATGGCTCATACTAATTCCTAGTGAAAGCCTAATTCACCTACAAAACAGGAATTTTGAGGTGATTTCCTGGTGAATAGCAGGTTACTGTACATGTAATATGATGAAGTCAACAAGGGTGATATCTCATAAATGAAACAATTTACAGCAGAGTTGGCTTGATATCAGGTGCATAAATGCATACCATTTCAATCCTTCTGAGATTGATGCTGTGATTGGTGCAATAGGTAGAATTCATGTTCATCATTGCTAATGTATATACAAAATAGCTCTTTCATACATAACTACAATATGAAAGTGTATTTTAATGACAGTGGTTGAAAGAAAAAAAGGCATGGCTAACTAAATAAAAAATGCCGCATTTAAGATTTCTAAACTTTCAGCATCTCAATGTGAGCTTAATTTTTTAATGGGAATATTGCTTATTTATTAGCAAATCTGTTCATTTTTAAGAGAATTGCCAATTCCAAAAAGAAGTACCAAACAATGTTTGTTTTAGCTTATTACTTTATTCAGCAGAATTACCTACTGCAATATTTGTCAGGAAATACTGTTTGATCTGGGGGCCAGAGACTCACACCTGAAACTTCTTAGCTACTCAGGAAGTTGCAGTCTGAGGTTCATGGTTCAAAGCCCACTGGAAGGAAAGTCTGTAAGATTCTTATCTCTATAATTAATCATCAGAAAGTGGAGCTGTGGCTTGAAAGATAAGAAGAAGGGAGGGGAAAGGAAAGAGGGACAAAGGAAAGGAAGAGGAAGGGAAGAAAGGAGGAGGAGGGAGGGAAGAAATACTGTTTGCTTTTGTGCTTAAAGGAGTCTACATTTTTAGCAGTGTAATAAATATATATTGAAAATCATGGTAATCCTTGCACGTATTTGAATAGTACCTTAAATTTTATAAACTATACATAATTTCATTTTAAATTCTGTGACAATCTTTTGAGACATATTACTTTTTCTTCTCTTTAAATTTTTTTATTGTTATTATAAAAGTGGTGTGCAAAGGGGTGACAGTTACATAAGTCAGGTAAAGAATAATTTCTTTTGGTCAGTGTCACCCCTTCCCTCGTTCTCTCCCAGTTTTTGCTTTTGAGAACATTGACACTCAGATTCACCATAATCATGTAATTTATTTATGAACCGATCTAAGGGTCAAATGTATTTATCTCAGTTATGATATCAATAAAAATTGGGAAGGGCTGTAGGTGGCAGGACTTAGGAGAAGGCAAGAGATGAGGATAAGTAATACCATAACTTAAAATAAGATGCAATGTTGAAAGACAGTAAGTTTGGCAATGTGACATTTTATTATTTGATGTATCACTTATGAGAAATGAAAATTGAGTGTGAAGTGGAAAAGTCTTTACCTTCTGTTTAAAAATGAGCCAAGAAGTTTAGCATATCATTCAGCAACTAAACTACTGTGGGTGGGGGGAGGCAGTCTTGGGGCTTAAACTCTAGGCCTGTGCACTGTCCCTGAGCTATTGTGCTCAAGACTAGCACTCTGCCACTTGAGTCATGAGCTCCACTTTCACTTTTTGTTGATTAATTGGAGATAAGAGTCTCATAGACTTTTCTACTCAAGCTGGCTTGTTGAACTACCATCCTCAGATCTCTGCCTCCTGAATAGTTAGGATTACAGCCTTGAGCTAACGGTACCTGACAATTCATGCCACTCTTGATCAATGAAACTTTTTTTTTTTGTCAGTCATGGGGCTTGGGCATTGTCCCTCAACTCTTCAGTTCAAGGCTAGCGCTCTACCACTTGAGCCACAACACTACTTCTGGCTTTTTCTGCTTATGTGGTGCTGAGGAATTGAACCCAGGGCACTGAGCCACTTTCCCAGCCCATCAATGAACCTCTAACATATTAGCCATCAGAAGGATAGTTAATTTTGTTTACATAAATTTAATGTTATGAATCTAATGAGAAATAATCTATATGGATTAATCCTGGGAAATAGGCACAAACAATTTGGGTGCCCTGGAGTTAGAGATATAAAAGCCAGGACCAACTTCAATCTCCTGCTTACATGTGAGCTACCAACATGTTAACTGGCCATGAAAAATTAGAACTATCAATTGTTCATGGTTTAGGTTTTATTTACATAGTCATAATAGACACTCAGTCAGTGGTTCTTAGGCTGTTTTGGAAGATACAATACTTGGATGTCATTTATGATGATTGTGCTAGAAGTCTGTAATATTACCATATTTCAGTTCTCCATAACTCTAGGACATTGTAAATTAGCCATTAACATAACCATCTTATATATATGAAAGATGTGACATAAAAAATCAAAATCAGTACATGTTTTACTGTTAGTCTCATTAGCATTTATTCTTTTATCCATTACTATTTATTAATTTGCCCATTACTCTTTTGTATTAGAAAGGAGAGGCAGGAATTAGAGTTTTGTTGTTGCTGCTGTTGATTTTACAAAAAGCATAGAACCAAAATTTCACCATCTTAGGATCTGTATTGCACACACTGTTGTGTGGCTCAGTGTGAAGCAAGTGTCTTTATTAAGTAATTTAACTCTGAAAGGTATAGAAAACGATGAAAACTTCTCACTAGGCACATGCATAATTTTCATGCCTTAGTTTTTATAATTTAAAACAAGATTTTATTTTGAAGCTTTGAAAAGAATGCCAAAATAAATATTAGATTTGCAATTATCCCTTACTTTAAAATGCTACCAATGAGCTGAAGCATTGAAGCACACTATCTTTCGAGTGCAGCGTTCAAGGATGTCTAAAATTCTATTTAATAAAATTAAATATTAGAGTTCTAAGATGAACTGATTTTCTAAGAGCTCTTTTTGTTGCATCCTCACTTTCTAAGTCCCCGCCCCCCGACTAATATCCTCTAATTTGAAGGGGAAAAATAATCTGATTTCAATTTGTATTATGTGGTATTCAAACTGTTTCTAAAATTGGTCCTACGAGAGTACTGCACTTTACTATTCCTGAGACCTGTGAGAAACCACAAAAGACCAAAAACCTCAATGGCATCTTTGAACACAACAAGGCATAATAAGGAAAGAGAAAAGTAATTTTTTCACTTTTACAATTTTACTTTTACTTTTTTACGTTAATACTTTTACTATGCCATCTATTTGTCTAGACTTCTGACTTACCTTTGTACTTTTTTTAAAAAAGGTCTGTGATTGTTAAGTTATGCATTTTGAAGATTAACTCCAACATGGCAAATAAGCTGCATTACCTGAAAATGTCATGTTCTACTTCCACAGCATGTAGTGGTATGCCAAGCATGGACCTAATATAATGTTTTTATAAAGATGATATAGTGTAAAAATCTCTCTTGCATTATCTCAAGAATGATGTCTTTAGAAACCCAGCCAGAATTTCACACGATTCCAGTAGGAATGGTTTTCCCGTGATAGTAATTTGTTTTTGTCTCAATTTTTGGTCTGTCTTGTAAAAGTATAATGGAATATGTTAGTTCTTATCTGAGTAACTGACTCCAAGTAGAATTTCATATTTTGGCAGAAGGCTTAGCTTATTATAATGTTTGAAATAGTTTTTTGATTCAGTAAACTCTAAAATATGTGGTACACTTTAGATCCCAAACCCTGAGGGTATTACACACATCTGAGGCACGCATAAAGTGGAAAAGCTCATTAAACTGTTGATTTAAAGAACTGACTTTGATTACTTAAGAAGCAAAAAATAATGTTTACTCAAAAGCATAAAGTACTTTCATATAACCTAGAGTATAAAATTGTGCTGATGTACATTTAGGTACATCAAATGTTTGGGAATTATACTTGTAATATTTGCCAAATGAAAGCTTTCAGGTGAATGTATAAAATATTTTTATTAAAAAGAAATCCCTTCTTCATTGTTGATGGCTTTCTTGATTATTAAATATGGAGGAGATTATTGTAGAGTATGTCGTGAAAGTTTCAAACACACTTGTATACTTACCAGCTGAAGTTGGGTTAATAAGAATGAATGAAAAAATGATCTTTAACGGTAAGAAGTGCTGTGTAGCTAAATAAGAATATGGTTGTGTAAGAATACATTAGAGTTTCTGTCCAATGTATAGTTATTGAGCTTAACATTCCTTGTGAATTCTTTAATTGCCATGAGGAAAAACCCTCAATTAATCAGAAGAATTATGAATTATTCCAGTGGTTATAAAATGCCCTATATTGTTAATTGACTCTGTTGAGTCTGTATTGGCATATATCTCAAGTACAAATTAAATGGTGGAAGGCCTTATGTAGTATTACACATAGAAGTCACCAGAGTTGTTTAAATATTACTTTTCTTCATTAATTCAAAACATTTATTAATTTCCAATTCATGCCAACCACTGTGTTAAACTAGGAATAAATAAAATATGATCCCTGACTCAAGCGTACAATTAGAAAAATGAGTACCATTAGAAAGGATGGCATTGGCTATATTTGTTATTTACCAGGTAGGAACAAAACATTGTAACTATATTGACTCATTAAATCCTTATAAAATCCTTAATTAGAGAGAGAAGTAGGGAAAGGAAGGTTAGTATATCTAACCTCATACAGCACCAAACTTATAGATTGATACTTGAACCTAGTGATTGTGTGTGTGTGTGTGTGTGTGTGAGTGCGTGCACTTGTGCGCACATGTGCATGTGCATGCTAGTACTGGGGTTTGAACTAAAGATCAACTTTTTCCACTTAAGTTTGGTGAGCTATCTCTTGAGCTACAACTTCAATTCCAGCTTTTTGCCAGCTAACTTTAATAAGAGTCTTGTATTTGTCTATTCAGGCTGGCTTCCAACTTCAATTCCCCTTTCTCAGACTCCTAAGGAGGTAACTAGGATAACATGCATATGCATGAGCTACCAGTGCCTGGTCAGAACCTGGAAAGTGTGTGTGTGTGTGTGTGTGTGTGTGTGTGTATTTGCATGTACACGTGCAAGAGAGAGATGAGAGAGAGAGAGACAGAGACAGAGGGGGGAGAGAGAGCATGCTCAGGGCCTGGATATCATCTGTGAGCTTTTTCTCTCAAGGCTAGCAGTCTAATACTTGAGCCCTTGCTTACTTCAGGCTTTTTGGTGGTTAAAAGGTGCTAAGAATCTCATGGACTTCCCTGCCCAGGCTAGCTTTGAGCCTGGATCCTCAGATCTCAGTCTCCTGAGTATCTATGAATATAGGCATGAACCACCAGCACCTGGCAGAACCTAGCAATTTTGATTAGAAAGTTGATGATGTAAATCGTCTCTGGACGGATAATCCTCTTGTTTTAGGTTTTTATTACTGTTTTTTTGGTTTGTTTTCGTCAGGGGGCTTGAACTCTGTCTGGGCCTGGGCACTGTCCTTCAGCTCTCCAGCTCAAGGCTAGTGCTCTACTATTTGAGCCACAGCACCACTTCTGGTTTTTCTGGTGGTTTACTGGAGATAAGATTCTCACGGACTTTCCTGCCTGGGCTGGCGTTGAATGGTGAGCCTCAGATCTCAGACTCCTTAGTAACTATGATTACAGGCTTGAGCCACTGATGCCCAGCTTAATTATTACCAGTCAGAGGTTGTGATTCCACATAAATGGAAATGGGATGTTGGATTTGCAGGATCTTTGCAATTCTTGATTTTTGTTTTATGTATGTATTTATGTATGTATGTATAT